ATTCCTCGTTCATTCATTCCTAAGGGTTATCCTAAGGAATCGGCAAGAAATTCATCGTTTCCACGGTTTACAAAACGGGCACTAATTATGCATAGTTGCCAGGGTTTAGGCATCAAGTCGGCATGATCACCAAGGTTTAGGCACCAAGTCTGCATGGTCACCAAGGTTTAGGCATCAATTCTACATGATCACCAGGGTTTAGAGTACACCGGGTGCACACATCGTTCACAACACCTACACGTTGCGATCCTGCTAGTGTTCCACTGGACTGTCTAGAATAGTCTGTGGTTGTCATCCATACTTTGTTGAATGACGGGGACATCATTTGGGAAAAAGGCTTCTCACATCGTCCACCTCTCACCCTCACCTCGTGGTCTATAACACCTCTAAACTCATCATTCAACTCATATTCCATCTATTATATCTACCCATGTTTACCCCAACATTATCATAGATATAAAAATACATATACAGTTTAAATCATTTAAAACATGTATAAGATCGTTCATTTAGCATAGACAACAAGTACTCAGATAATATGCACACATAGCACGTAATTTATATAAAATACTTCATAGCTATGTGTAAGATGAAAGTAACTATGCACTCACCTGATTAGGTGATGACTCGGTACTTGGACAGTACTTTGTTACTGTTAAAACAATTTCCCTCGGACAAAACCTAGTATCATTACCACTAGAGTTTAGTCTAACGTTAACCGAGACTAATTAATAGTCTAGATATTATTACTATTATATAAGCATTAAGAAACACTCCAATATAACTCATAATAATATCCCAAATACTCATTATAATTTCCTAATAACGTTACTATATTAAAACATAAGCTATACAAAAGATAGGGTAGGCATAGCTCACTTACAGCGGGTTTTTCGCAAAATCGGGACTCGCTAGAGTAGCGTTTCCGAGCCGAAAGGCTCTTTTCTTGGAACTCCGGAAGCCTCGGGGCTTCCTTCGGGTGCTAGGGGGTTTACCTAGACTTTAGGTGGCTTAAGGGAGGTTAGAGAGAGAAACTGGAGAGAGAAAGAGGGGTTTGAAGGTGTGAGGAAATGGCAAGACCCGACACCTCTATTTATAGGGTGAATTCATGATGGAATCGCCAAGTAGGAGGACCTACTCGCCGATTTGGGGCATGTGGCAGCCTTCTGGTGTTGTCACATGTCCAATTCTGATGTTGCCACATCACCCCCTATCGCGTATGAGCCTTCAAACTTAGAAAACTCATAACTTTTGTATACAAGCTCCGTTTTCGATGTTCTTTTTTTCAACGCATAGGTAAAATCAAGATCTACAACTTTCATTTAGACTCTGTCGGCTAATTCTCGACCGATCTCAAATTTAACAGTAGGAGGCGTTTAGACTGTTAAATGACCGCAAAGAATTCGTAACTCCTTCATACGGACTCCGTTTTCATCTTTCTTTTTACTGTTAAGTTCCTATTACTGAGATCTTCAACTCTCATTTAGGTCACGTAAGCCAAAAACCGCTCGAACTAAAATTCGAGTTTCGGGTCGTGTACTGCTAAGCTGAATCTTAGAAAAATCATAACTTCCTTATACGAAGTCAGATTTGGGTGTTCTTTTTATCGAAGCTCTTAGTTTAACATATTCTATGAATTTCTTTTAGATTGATAAGGCTAAATCTTGCTCTATCGTAAATTCACTATTTACGCTTCCCGGTGTCGTGTCGGTTTTGCTGTAAAACTTCGACGGTCCATAACTTCTTCGTTATAACTCGGATTTCGGCGTTCTTTATATGTACGGAAACCTTGTGACATATTCCACAACTTGATTAAGATTATTTATTAAATAATCTTTTGTCAAAAAGTCGTTTTCGACCCCTATTGCCTCTAAATTGACTGGCCCGGATCTGCAGGCGTTACAATTATCTCCCCCTTAGGATGATTACGTCCCGGAATCGCCAACGAAACAGGGCTCGTATAATGACTCCATACGTCATGTCTTCGTCCTTGGTAATAATTATAACATCTATAATCCTTCAAGTCTATCTGTTAGACTTATTGACTGCAAGCAGTACTCGATCTTACACCTGCTCTTTATCTTAGGTTAGACTCCAAATTATGACCTTCAGGTCATAATCTCGATCCTTACTGGATACAAGCTTAAGATAAGTTCTTTTATTACTGAAATGGAATGATGTGTCATATTCTAATGACATATCATCGTATGTTGCAATTCTTGGACTCAGGTCTTTTAGAGTCAAATTCCAAAACAGGCTATACCTTCCTTCATGTTCTAATCACATCTTAAAAGGTAGTATTTCTAGCTACAAGCAACCTTCACGATACCTCTACCGATCACTTCGATTATCTTTTACTTCGATCCTATGGCTCAAGTCAGATGTTATATCGAAATTGGTTCTCTAAACCACGTAACATACTCATTGTATTCGGACTCAATTTGATATGACCACTTGGGTCGGAATAACAATCATCTTCTTAGTCACTACCGAAACGATGGTAACGACATATTTGAATAAATCGGAATCAATTATTGGCTTCTTGGTAACCTTGTGACTTTCCCTTATGCAAGTGTGAGTCATGTGCTTCCAGTAGTATATGCATCTACTACCTTTCACACCTACTCATACTAGTCCCAAGTATTGTCTCGTAGTTTTCCAAGTCACCATACAGGAAAAATCACATAACAGTTTAACACATCAGATAAAAAAATGAGGGCTTTATTATTTCTCGAAACTATTACATAGGTGTTCAAGTTCACCCTAGACTATACCTCTAATAGGCTACATCATACGATACTATGGCTACTTCTTAACTTGATATTCGGATATGAAGTCCTTATCCTTGGTTCCTCGCATGGTTTTCTGCTTCGTCAAGGATCATGTGGAATGCTCTTGGCCTTGGTGGTGTGTTTGGTCTTGTTGCCTCGTTTTTCTTTGGGCAGTCCCTAGAAATATGCCCTTCTTTGTTACATCCATAGCACACCTTCTTGTTGGACGCACACTTGTTGGCGTAATACCCTATCTTTCCAAATTTGTAGCAAGTCATATCCTCGCTACATTTCCCAGAGTGCTTCTTTTTACACTTTTCGCACCACTTGGCTTCACCTCCTCATCCTTCTTCAGTCTTTGAGAATTTCCTTTCTTTGTTGGACTTTGAAGATCCTTCATGCTTCGGTACTGTTTGTTTTTCCGAAGTAAAATTGTCTGAAGTCTGCAGACCACTTCTGCAGACCTCTGCAGCAGAAGAGGTGGACCACAGTGCTGCAGACTATAATGAGAAGCATGTTTGTTTTTTTAACATCTGCAGACTGCTGCAAATATTAAAAAATTTAACATAAAGTAATTTAATAAACCAAAAATAGTATTTTAATACCAAAAATTTAATAATTGTAGTCTTAAAACATTGAAATAAAATTCAAACAACCAAATTAGTCTTACAATAACATTTTTAAATAAAATTCATACAACCAAACTTTAATAATTCTCATTCCATATTTTGCATCAATTGTTCGGCAATTTCATTCTGTAACTGGGTCATATATTCACGGTCCGCTGCAGTACCATGTGTTGGAATCTCATCTTCATCATTATCAATGACTGCATTGTTATTCCGAACCGAGACATTTGGTTCATCATATCGTGCAAAAAACTCATCACGTAGTCCCTCTCTTCTTATAAAATTATGAAGCGCAAAACATGCTAGGGTAATGTTTTGTTGTGTAACCAACGAGAATGGTGCCATCCTCTTCAATATAGGGAATCATGCTTTCAAGACACCAAAAGCACGCTCAATGACATTCCGAAGTTTTGCGTGTGCATGGTTAAATTTTTCTTTATTCGTTAATGCACGTCTTCGACGAAAATCTCCAAGCCAATACCTTACATTACGGTATGGTGCCATAAAACCTCGAATGTTTGCATAAGCGGCATCACAAAGATAATATTTATCTGTAAAAATAAAACAACAAAAAGTCATTTATTTTTCAAACTATGATAAAACTATTTAAATAACCATAAATTTACCTGATGGTGGAAGCGGGAATGGTGCATGTGGATTTGCTAATGCTTCTGATAAAATTCTAGAATCGTGTGTTATCCCTTCCCAACCGGCCACAACAAACGTAAACATCATGTTGAAGTCACATATTGCCAATATGTTTTGGTAACAATCGCCTTTTCCCCTACTTCTATATAAATCCCGTTTGTTTGTAGGGACAACAGCATGTATCAAAGTGCCATCAAGTGCACCAACTGCTCCCTTGAACACCCGTCGTAGCCTCCTATTGTGTCCCGGAATGTTTGGATTCGGATTAAAAGAAGTCGGTACTATAATGTCATGTGCAAAAAGCAACATTTTGTCCAACACTTCATGAAAAAACTTATGAATTGTTTGCTTTGAGTGTTGAAATCTCCGCTTGATAATCACATAATGTTGGTTATGACCGATCATCTTCAAAAACATAGTCATCTTCTCCTCAACCGACACATGTTTGCTGTCCTTTAACGCGTAGTTTACTCTAAAATGAGCACATAGCCGGACAAATGATTCACGGGACATGCGTAGAACTTCAAGACATTGTAGAGGATTACGATGAAGTAACTCTAACGTAAATTCATGTCCCATCATTTCCGAATCGTTGTCCCGCACTCGTTTGACACCCCTCTTCCAAAAGTAGCGGACGTACAAGTACATTAGAATTATGAGTAGTATCTTTTTGTCGTGATCCATTACAAACCTATTAATCAACAAAGCATAACATAACATAAGATAATAACATAACATAAGATTAAATAACATAACATAACATAAATCTCAAGTACCAAACAACATACGATTCAAGTACCAAAAATACATACCATAAAAGTCAAATACCAAATAACATAAAATTCAAGTACCAAATACTACAAATAATATTCAAGTAGCAAATAACCAAAAAAACATAACCATATAGCTCCAAAAGATGCAATTAAAACCTAAACAACTCAAACATACAAACTTAACGGATAATCTTCCCATCCTTTAAAACTCCTAAGCTTGTAGCTGTCATCTCGATCCATCCTCTTAATATTTGTGGATCATTAGGAAAATTTACCCACATCTCTCTTATATTCATGGTCCCTCCAAGAATATGATATGTAGCAAATCGTAGAGGGTCTACTGGATCTAACTCGAGCAACTCAAGCTTCTCTAAACATTGGGGAATCGTTGGCCCTTGAGTCAAATGGCGTAGAGCTTTTTGCATCTCCAGTGCTAAATCATCACGAGTAATAGAAGGTTTAGGCGAGGCACAAGAAGGTGGATCAGGTGAGGCACTAGGAGCCCGAGGTCTAGGAGTTGAGGGTTTAGCCCTTTTGTTGGGGTAACTAGAAGGTGAAGCAGCTGAAGGTGAATCAGCAGAAGGTGAAGCAGCAGAAGGTGGTGGCTGAGTAAAATGCTCACTAGTATGATTGGAAAAGTAATCATCTTCATCTATGTTAATGGAAGGGGCGTCCATAAGCTTTAGTGGTGCAACATGGAAGGAAGACGATCCATGTCCCGATGGTGTTTGGGAGGTGTCATAACTGAGATTACCAGATGCACTGTTTCCATCGAAGATTTCTGCACAAAGCTCTGGAAACAATAAAGGGACGGTTTTCAAAGAAGCGGCTTTCGGATGTCCCTAAACTCAATCAATGTAACAAAAGTAATATAAGAATAAACGAAAACTATATAAACAAAATATATATAAATATGTGTGTATGTATATATATATATATATATATATATATATATATATATATATATATATATATATACCTTTTTAAAGTCCTCCCACTCCTCATTTGTTAAGTTAAAAGTGTTTGTTTGTGGATTGTAAAGGTTGCCGGTTTTGTTTTTTAAGTATAACCATCCAGTGTATTTGGCTTTAAGGTTGTCATAGGCATTTTTTAATTGTCGTTGATTCAAATCCACGCCATACTTTTCCTTAATGGTTGTTCCTAACTTGTGCCATGATTGTTTGTGCAAACTCAAACCTTTTCTACCAACGGTTTGTACTTATTCAATACAAGTGAGCAATAAGCATTTTGTTTGCTCATTGGTCCATGTATGTTTATCTCCCATTGCTAATAACAATATATATATATATATATATATATATATATATATATATATATATATATATATATATATATATATATATATAATACATACTTTAGCAACAAATAATTTTAGCATATTCAACGATTTAAACACATACTTGCATATAAGCATAAACATAATCTTCATTCAAAAAATACACGTGATAACAACTCAACAAAGAAGTTTAAAAAATCCCAGCAACGATCTAAGCACAAACTTGCATATAAGTTTATGAATTCAACATATAAATTTATGATTTCCACAAAGATTTATGATTTTATCAAACATTCATACAAATCCACCACAAAAATTCATAAACCAAAACATAATTTTGACAGTAAAAACAGGAGGAACATATTTGAAAGCATTATATCATAAATCATAAATCAACATACAAATATATATTCAGATCCGACACCAAGAAATATATACTTTTTTTCTTGTTTTGAAAGCATCAATTTAGTGGATCCTTAGGAAATAGGTATGCAGTGTATTTTTTAATCTAAAAGAAATACACTTCATAAAGCAGAGAACAATCCCATCCTAAACAATACTCGTTTGCACAATTGACAAATCAAATTGCTACTTTTCTTTCTTTTGCAAATAATAGCTAAAACTTCAAATCAAATAACCAAACATATCAATTTATATCAGTAAATTACACCAAAATCATTCACTGTTTTAATCTAAAAGAAGACACCAAAATCATTCACTAAAGTTCAAATACTTGGATTAAGTTAAAAAAAATCAATCTACTTAATATTTCAACATACAGTGGAATCGTAGCTTGCTTCTCCACAATTCATATATTTGGATTATGTTTATACTCAAATCAAAATCAAAAAAAAAAAAAAAAAAAAAAGCAAAAAAAAACCCTAACCTGTTGAGCGGCGGTCGACTGGCAGCAGAGAAGACGAGCGGCGAGTGGCAGCGGCAGCGGCGAGCGACGGCGGCGATAGGTGTGTGGCAACAAGCGACTACCGATTGGTTCTTCCGTTCTTGGCCGATGGAGACTGGAGAGCGAACTCGTGAGGATGCGGCTGGCCGATTTTTTTTTGTTTAGATTAGGTTAGAAGCGGTGATAAGAGGTAAACCCAATGTTGTTTGGGGCAGAGGACGGGAAGAGGTTTTTAAGCCCGAAGCCTTTTAAAAAACAAACTGTTGCGAGCTTAAAAGTGTTGCGCGTGTGCTGCGTCGCGCAACACTAAGAGGTTAGAAGAGCTTTTTTTTTAAAAACAAACACAACCTTCCTTTTCTCGCCAACTTCAGCTCTATCCAGACCCTTTTCCTTAATCTAGGTTTCAACATTCCTGGCTGCCCAGATGGCTCCTTTCAAAGTGGTTGCTTGCTTGACCATTGGTCCAAAGTCTGCTGGTAATCCATGGGCAAACTTGTTGACCTTGGAGAGCTCAGTTGGAACTACGTAAGGAACAAGCTTCATTTTCTCCGTAAAACTTGCAGCATACTCGATGACACTCATCCTTCCCTTCTTTAGATTCTGGAACTCATTGTTGATCTCCAGAAGATCCTGCTCAGAGCAGTACTGCATCTTTAGCTGCACCAGAAAATCTTCCCACGATATCTTGCTCGCTTCTCCTTTGGGCATCGAATTAGCTAGTAGCTTCCACCAGCTTAGTACTCCAAATTTCAACAAAGGAACCGTGAGAGCGGTCTTTTGCCTGTTGCTACACTCGCAACTCTCAAACATTGTCTCCATCTCGGAGATCCAGTTCATGACTTCCACCGGTGTCGAGCTTCCAGATAGACTCGGTGGTTTGGACGCCATGAAATCCTTGTATTTGCATCCACGTCCGTCATTTCCTCCATCTTGGTGGTTTTGCCTAACTATCGGTGGGTTGGTCTGACCAATAGTCCCACTGTAGTTTCCCTCCACAGTCTGCCCTTCGTTCAACTCGGGCTGTTCGATCTGTATGGTCGCTTCCTCTCGATTTTGCTGGAGCAAACGTCTGGTTTCCTCCATTTGACAATCCAACATCGCCTTGATCATCTCTTGCACTCCGTCCATTGTTATTGGCTCAGCAGCGGCTACCACAACCGGTATTTGCTCAATCACTAGGGGTTGGTTTCGGTTCTCATTTGCATTCACGTTTCCGCTACGGGTCCTTTCCATCTTGATCTATACACCGAATAAGGTGAATCCAGATCTTTATTTAGGATTGACGTTTAAATCATCGTTATCACTCCGAAACGTTTATCTGCTAGTTCTAATATCGTATTCGTATGTTTAGAATCCTAAACACATAAGGTTTCCAGATCCGGTCGGCAACTGACCATAGATCCGAACAAACAATAGCATGTCAGGCACAAAGCATTTAGCACATAAAAGCATTTTAGGCACAGTTCCTAAAATAAGCTAGTGCTCACACCTCACAATCATCGCTTAGCATTCTAAGTTTAAGTCTAGAAATCCTACAAATTCCTAGTTCGCTTAAACTAATGCACTGATACCAACTGTGACATCCCCATTTTCACGGCCAGAAAAGACCGATTTTGTTTATGCTTTATAAAAATCAGAGTACTTCTTTTCATAAAAATGTTGCGGAATTGGTTCCCAGAAAAATACGATAAATACGTTATCAAAACATTTTCGAAGAAACGTATTTTATTCATTTTAAAACGTTTGGGGTGTCATCATCAATACAGGAACATAAGCATAAACGGACTTACATTTATTTACACTAGTGATCTACATCTCTTTAATCTCTCAGTGTAATGTCACTTCATATCGACACTTGTGATACAAATAAACTGAGTGGGTCAGGTTGGGAAACCTCGTGAGTACATAGGGTTTTCAACCGACAATAGTATAATTATTATGTTTAACAATCAAACAATCAACCCAATTACCCATCCCCGTTATTTTCTTTGCTCTTAAGGATCTACCCTAAGAATCAGCTATTCCTCGTTCATTCATTCCTAAGGGTTATCCTAAGGAATCGGCAAGAAATTCATCGTTTCCACGGTTTACAAAACGGGCACTAATTATGCATAGTTGCCAGGGTTTAGGCATCAAGTCGGCATGATCACCAAGGTTTAGGCACCAAGTCTGCATCGTCACCAAGGTTTAGGCATCAATTCTACATGATCACCAGGGTTTAGAGTACACCGGGTGCACACATCGTTCACAACACCTACACGTTGCGATCCTGCTAGTGTTCCACTGGACTGTCTAGAATAGTCTGTGGTTGTCATCCATACTTTGTTGAATGACGGGGACATCATTTGGGAAAAAGGCTTCTCACATCGTCCACCTCTCACCCTCACCTCGTGGTCTATAACACCTCTAAACTCATCATTCAACTCATATTCCATCTATTATATCTACCCATGTTTACCCCAACATTATCATAGATATAAAATACATATACAGTTTAAATCATTTAAAACATGTATAAGATCGTTCATTTAGCATAGACAACAAGTACTCAGATAATATGCACACATAGCACGTAATTTATATAAAATACTTCATAGCTATGTGTAAGATGAAAGTAACTATGCACTCACCTGATTAGGTGATGACTCGGTACTTGGACAGTACTTTGTTACTGTTAAAACAATTTCCCTCGGACAAAACCTAGTATCATTACCACTAGAGTTTAGTCTAACGTTAACCGAGACTAATTAATAGTCTAGATATTATTACTACTATATAAGCATTAAGAAACACTCCAATATAACTCATAATAATATCCCAAATACTCATTATAATTTCCTAATAACGTTACTATATTAAAACATAAGTTATACAAAAGATAGGGTAGGCATAGCTCACTTACAGCGGGTTTTTCGCAAAACCGGGCTTCGCTAGAGCAGCGTTTCCGAGCCGAAAGGCTCTTTTCTTGGGACTCCGGCAGCCTCGGGGCTTCCTTCGGGTTCAAGGGGTTTTACCTAGACTTTAGGGGGCTTAAGGGAGGTTAGAGAGAGAAACTAGAGAGAGAAAGAAGGGTTTGAAGGTGTGAGGAAATGGCAACACCCGGCACCTCTATTTACAGGGTGAATTCCTGATGGACTCGCCGAGTAGGAGGACCTACTCGCCGAGTTGGGGCATGTGGCAGCCTTCTGGTGGTGCCACGTGTCCAATTCTGATGGTGCAACGTCACCCCCTATCGCGTATCAGCCTTCAAACTTAGATAAATCATAACTTTCGCATACGAGCTCCGTTTTCGATGTTCATTTTTTCAACGCGTAGGTAAAATCAAGATCTACAACTTTCATTTAGATTCTGTCAGCTAATTCTCGACCGATCTCAAATTTAACAGTAGGAGGCGTTTAGACTGTTAAATGACTGCGAAGAATTCGTAACTCCTTCATACGAACTCCGTTTTCGTCTGTCTTTTTACTTTTAAGTTCCTATTAATGAGAACTTTAACTCTCATTTAGGTCACGTAAGCCAAAAACCGCTCGAACTAAAATTCGAGTTTCGGGTCGTGCACTGCTAAGCCGAATCTTAGAAAAATCATAACTTCCTCATACGAAGTCAGATTTGGGTGTTCTTTTTATCGACGCTCTTAGTTTAACATATTCTACGACTTTAGTTTATATTTCTAAGGCTAAATCTTGCTTTATCGTAAATTCACTATTTACGCTTCCCGGTGTCGTGTCGGTTTTGCCGTAAAACTTCGACGGGCCATAACTTCTTCGTTATAACTCGGATTTCGGCGTTCTTTATATGTATGGAAACCTTGTGATATATTCCACAACTTGGTTAAGATTATTTATTTTGTCAAAAATTCATTTTCAACCCCTATTGCCTCTAAATTGACTAGCCCGGATCTACGGGCGTTACATCAATGTCGCTACATGAAGACACGAGACCGTGGCTCCAAGTAAAAAGGATGTTCCAAGCCTTCAAGCTGCCCTTCCTACAGAAGAACAAATCAATTGGAGGCCAAACCATCAAGTCACCCTTGCTAAATAAGAATCCATAATATGCCATGTAGGATCCGTAAGTCACCCTAAAGGAATCTTCAAATGTAAAAAGGATATTCCAAGCCTTCAAGTCATCCTTCATGGAAAGCTTTGAACCCCAACAATCTCCACCTCAAAGCCTAGAATGGATGAAGAGGCTCTATGATCTGAAACAACAACTAACATATACGAAGTCCAATCATGACCATAGTGAAAAGAAAAGGTGAATGTGAACCAATAACTCGAATCTTCAATAGTCTTCAAATCCGAGTCATGGGATATAAAACAACACGAATCATGCTCTAAATGATAAAAACCACCCTCAAGCACGAAAGTAATTCCAAAAATAAGCATCTCGTAAGTGAACCCATCATGAAAATTGTCATCAGAAACAAATTGTTGAATCACCTCTATGCTTCCTAAATCGGTGAAGATCTCCCCCTCAATGTCACACTGGTTTTCAAATAGTCAATGAAGAACATTTGCGAACGGTATAAACACCCAAAAACCACCATGTAGAAAATCAAAACCATGATTCTCATTCAAACATGATCAAGAATAACCAAAATCGAGTCAATCAAAGCACCACAACACAAAGAGAATATACTCAAATGCTCAACTTGACTTGAAGTTAATATACCCAACTTCAAAAATTCTCTCTCAAGCTTCACCAAAACTCACAATCTTGAAAACCATAATCTTCTTTTCGAATTAATATACACATCTTCTCTCCTAATAAAATGTTGAAATGGTTATAAGAATGTGCTCGTAACGGATATACCAAACAATAACTCCTCGACAATTGGAATATCAGTCTAAGCTTGAAATGGAACAATAGGAAGATAATAACAATATACCGAATCTGCCCCAAACACCAAAGTAATAATATGCTCATATCAATCAGCTTGAAATCATCTCCCAAAAATAATCGTTGAATGCCGATTAAGTCTTATGACAATAAATGTCGAAACTGTGTAATACCAAAAGTGATGGCGAAAATCGACCCATACTCTCCAAATATTGTCTCGAAAAATAAATCTCGAAAGCTCGAAAGAATCTGAGCATCTATCCCGCAAAAAATCATCACATGTAGAATTTTGAAATGAGGCAACGATTGCAAATTTGTAACATATGTAGGGGGCAAAATGTGACTTCAAGAAAAACAACGTCCTCTTCAGCCAAATCTTAAACCCCAAATGATTCCTCAACACAAAATTAACCCAAAATACTCTTCCTTTCCGTACATTTCAACTCAACACAAACAAGCAAAAACAAAGGGATACAGAATATCACGAAGAACACAAGTCCAAAATTGCACAATATCGTATCATCTTCTCATACTTACAACAACAAAAAATAAATATTGACTATCAATCTATAACGTCGTATACCACTTTGTAAAATGAATGTCAAGTTGTACCTTGTGCTTTACCAAAAGTATACTGTAAGACAAAGCATATGGCATTTATTTATTTAATCTATAAATGGTTGAGAGTCCATGCAAAGGTGAACAAGTTTCTGTTGGAACTGTCCGTACAATTCACCAGCAGCTATTACATCTTCATTTTCCGGGTTTAGACCCGGCAAAACCACCAATTTTTCTTTAATTAAAGAATCCGATTCTTTTCCAGAATCTAATTTTTCAATAAATTCGGCATGAATTTCACGACACGCGATTATAAACATGGCGGCGGTATCCGGTTGCTGGGCCCTACGGAGTGCTGCCAGTGCATCTTGTAATGAACCCGCTGCTATGTACAATATCAGGGACCTGTCATGTTTGTTCCAAATCCCAATCAGACAAAAATTGCATTTTTTTTAATTCGAAAAAGAAAAAAATATATTTTAGAAAACTGAATAATACCTCCAGATGTTATGTTCAGCATGAAGGACATGTTCAGCCCATCTGTGTAATACCCTGCAAAATCCACAAAATATATGAAAAAATAAAATCCTTCTAATATGTTAATGTGATATGCAAAATTTACATATAAAATGAAAAAAATTCAAACCTTGCATAATCAGTTCCTTTTAAATGTGTTGCTGCTAATGTTGCAGCATCTGTCCAACACCCCGCATCTTGTAGCTGAAACATATATGTTACAATAATCGCAATGTGACGAGGGTATTTTGGTCTTTTTGATTAAAAAAAAGGAAGAATGAAATTGGATATATTTTTTTTAGAAATGAAAGAACACCTGTGAACAAGCTTCTTGATACCTCCCTACAGCACATAGCAAATGTGTGCCAGATAATGACCTGTCAGTGCTCACCATACTTGCTGCAACCACCTACAACAAAATTAAATTATATATTAAAAATGGGAAATTATATATAATATAATATAATAAGTATTAGATTTTTAATTACCTTTACAGCTAATTCATTTAAAGATCTTGAAACAGCTGATGAAAGAGCAACAGCACGCAAAGCATTTGGATAAAAATAAGGGCTTTCTGGAGGAGTGGAAAGCATTAAACTTACAGCACCTTCCAAGTTACCAATCGACACAAGCCTGATAATTAATTAATTACATATTTAGAAAAGAAAAAGAGAATTATTTATATATTAAAAAAATAATTATAATACTGACTCATGCACACGGTTCTGAATAGATTCTTCATCTTCTAATTTTTCATGCCATGGAATACGCTCATTAGCACTTTCCCATAATTCTTCTTGCTCAAAAGCCATTAATTTAAGTTCACCATCACTCTGATCATAAATAAATATCTATCATTATTAAATATTAATACTGTAAAGTAAAAACACATTCCTAAAACACAAAATATAAGTTTTTTTTAGATTAACCCGAAAAAATTAGTTCAATGGCCTATTGAGTAAAAAAAAAAAAAAAAACTGATTAGGGACTTAAAGTGTCAAAATGGACAAGCTTATTTATTGTTATTCAATCACATTAATCCTAAAAAAAGGAAAAAGTTAATTTATACCACTGTGTTGGTGTTACTTGACCCAGTTCCGGATTTACCCTTGGAGGAAATCCTAGTCAGCAAGGACACGTCATCAATTTCTTCAGACGATGATTTTACAGGGGTTTTTTCTTTTTCTTTTTCTTTTTGTAGAGACTTGTTAGCTAAATTGTTCATTAAGTGGTTAAGTGCATGAGGCAATTGCAACCAGAAATAAGCCTCTGATGTTTCACCAAATATTGCTGCTGAAAAAGAGAACCTTGCAGCTGAACCTTTATTCACTATACTACCATACTCTTGCACCATTTCATCATCAAGTATGCAACCTAATAATGTAAACAAATATAAAATACGATAAAAAATACATACATATATATATATATATATATATATATATATATATATATATATAAACTGACCTTCTCTCTGGTAAGGCTCTAGCACCTTAAGAAGCAATTCTGGGACAACAGTGTCACCAATTGTTGGTATATCAATTAAATAGCTACGAAGATCTCCTAATGATAATTCATTAGTTTTATTATTTATAATCGTACTGCATGTGTTAAACCATGAAGGCTTTACACCACATTGCAAGATCAGCCTCAATGCCTGTTAATAATAATAATAATGTTATATTTTCAATCTGTGTGATTAGAGAGAATATCAATGTATGTTTAAAGAAAAGGTTAAGGGCAAAATTACCAAGGCATGTGCAGTAGGAAGTAATATAGGAGAACATAAAGGCATTGGTCGAAACCGCTCCTTTATTGATCCATACTGAGCTCCATAACCAGATCTTTTTTCACTGCATACATAATAAATAATTACTATCAACTTTTTTTTTTTTAAAAATATTAAATAAATATAGTTATGAAACATACATGTTAACTTCAATAAGGCGAAAGCTACTATCTGCTCCAGTAATACACAAAACCAGAGGATCATTTTTATCAGTTCTTACAGGCAACCAATCAAGTTCCAGCACTAGTGTTCCAGGAAACTGAGGCTGTAGTAATGAGTTAGCTAATGGATCTGGTGAATCCTGCAAAAAAATAATAATAATACCATTGTAGTTATTTGCTACATATTGATATTATTGGTAAATAATGATTTACTTATTTTGTAAATTTTTTTTGCTTACAAGGTCAAAAACGGAAAATGTATTGTCATTAAACAATACAGCAATACGTCCACGGCTTCGGTCTCCAGGAACAACGGGTGAGAATTTGATTCTTCGAATGCCTTCACGGTGAGTGTTGAAAGAGGAGGATTGTCCAGTTGTAACGTCCCACCACCGGATGTTACCTGACCTGTCCCCCATCACCTGACAAGGGTATTTTCGTCATTTAACAAAAAAACAAATGGAATTGAAATAGTTCCACCGTCTTTCTTAGGTATATGGTGAGATGAAATCCATCAAACATGGAATTTGAAGGATTCCGGAAGAATTGAATTGATTTCCATCTATTTGGGAAGCAAACGATGGAATGGAATCTTGAATTCCAATTCTACTGGAATCTTGGATACCAATTCTAATAGTATTACTAACCACATGAGGCAAACGATAGGCCATAGCTCTAACAGGTCCGTCGGAAGAAACAAGTGAAGAAACAGGCCACTTTGGTCTGTAAAGTAATAAAAGGAAATTAGAATGAGATATAAATAATAAATTAAATGAAAAAAAAAGATAAATTGGATAATGAGTTTTTTTTTTTTAGGAAAGAATAATACTTGAAGTCTCGGATCCTTCGCCCTTGAACTTCAAACACCCCAAGTGCACCATTTACAAGTGCAAATGCAAAAGTCTCTGAAAACTCTTCTTGACCTCCATCTGCATCAGAAGTTAATTTTGACTTTTGAGCATTGAAACTTTATGATAATTAAAATTTGATGAGAAGAAACAAAAGTAGGATGTTATCAATTATAATAAACAATAAAACAAATAAATGAAAGTGTGTTGCTATTTCTTGCATTTAACCCTAATGAAAATGCTACTAATATCATACTATACTCACTAGAGTCTGTTTCGGGAGGGGCAGAAGTGTCAGATTGCTTAGATGCTGCAGTCTGTGTTGGTCTTGGAACAGTAGGAAGAGTCCACTCCAATACTGTAAATGGAAGAGCCAAAGACCTAAGCTGCAAAAAAAGAAAACATTATTTGAAAAAGAAAATTAAACAATTAAAAAAATAACACAAGTAATCTGGTTTACCATGACTGGAGTCTTTGTCATTGCCCAAACCTCAACAGGAGCATCACGAAACAAAATCAAAAGATACCTACAAAATTGCATCAAGAATGTATCAAATAGGTTTAAATTAAATGTCAAGATTGGGTAACAAACTATTCATTCTTTTTTTTTTAAAGTACAATCAAAAGGTAAGCAAATGGAACATTTTGATCACAAATAGTTCATTACCCATTAATGACATTAACCCTATCAAATGGATTGAAGAATTAAAGAAAACCCTTTTTCAAGAACAACCTTCCGGAAGATGAAGCCCTTAAAGCTCTTATGGGAGTACGTTCTGGTTTTTGTAAAACCCTAAATGTTCGATTAAGGCCAGTTCGAAGATTGGTAACAACAAGCCTATTTGTAAAGCCACCAGTTTTCTCATTTCCCTAAATACACAAAGTAATAGTTATATGTCATCACTCATTACTCATTTCAAATTGAGAAAACAAATACATGTGATTACTTATTTAATAGTTTAATACAAGTTTTTTTGTTACATAAACATAATACATACCTGAGTGTATGAGAATGAGACTAGTCTTGTATTACCCAACCACCTTAATCCTCTCACAACAGTATCATGGATACAAAAACTTGCAGCAACAGCATTTGCAGAAACATCAACAATGTCAACTGAACCACTCTGAGTTCCCAAGGCAACTAGTGGAACAGCTACTGCAGGATGGTTTCCCCCTCCTTCATATGTTATTAATTAATGAGTATAATATTTAATATAAAAAATCTGATATTTGGTTTTAAACAGCAGAAAGAACTCACGTGCAAAAGTGGCAGTTAAAGAAGGGGATGGAACAGCCAGCATAGTCACTGATGAAGAAAGAAGATGCAGCTGTCCAACCAAACTGATCTGATTGAAGAATTTTATCAGTAAGAATGAATAAATAACCAAAGTCAACATTGAGTAACAACACGAATAAACCTTTAGTGACAGCTCATCCTTGTTCTTTTTGGAGGATGATCGACGACCCTTTCTAATATTCTCCTTATCTGTTTGTTTGACTACATCTTTCACAGAGCCAAATGAAGAATCCAATCCAGAATTTGTATCTAAAGATGAATCTTTATCTTTACTGATTTCTGCAACAATGGTGACATCTGATGCAGCTTTTTGATTCTCTGTTGGGCCTTCAGCAGTCAGAAGCCAGTTCCATATTTTTCCATCATCAGAGATGGATAACAGATGGGTTTTAGAAATGACTGGAGTTTCATCACAAAAATCGAAAGGGTTGTCAAAATCCATAGCAGGTGAAGAAGTATGATGTCCATCGGAAAGATGCTTGTGAACATTTTGCAGGGTGGAATCTGATCGAGAGATGACAACTGCAAGAACTGAGGGAGATGGGATAGGGGTGCCAAGTGAGGGCATCAATTCTTCCATCATGCACATCACATGCACCTGCTCTCCTCTTTTGTGATGTGAAAATAAGTAAATCACTTTATGTTGAAGAAAACATTCAGATACATAAACTATATACATACACAATCATGAAGGTTCCTTAAATGTAGAGAAATTCAGATTAATAAATGAATATGATTGAAGGTTAAGCAATTATGGCCATATTCATATCTCAATGCAATAATCAAACATACTTAATATAGTTTTTCGATTGAGTAGAAAATTTACTTACTCCTTCCTCCTCCAAGCGCTGAGGCGTCCATCCAAATGAGCACAGTAGACCACCTCCAAGCTTGGGTCAGGCAACACATCGAGAAACTTTCCACATCCTCTAGGTAAATTGATACGAGACAGAGCTGTTTTATATTGCATATCGAACACAACCAATTCCCTTGGAAAAGTCACATACAAAATGTGCTTCCAATGTGGAGAAAACGCGATTTTCACTACGTAGGTGGGGAAGGACGCCATTGCCGGAGAATTGTTGATTGAACCGGAAGTACTAGCGGCAGCTGCATCTCTCTCCAGCTTATTCAATTCAGAGACATCGGTAGGTATTTGAAGTTCTTTCAATACGACGTCCGATTCCGAATTGTCGCCATGAACTTTGATCGCTAGAAGGAAGCCTCTGAGACCTACAACACAGAAATGGCGGGAATCAAAGGGATCACGTTTAATGCACGAGAAGGTTTCCGGAGCGGCGTCGTATTTGAAGAAGCAACGCCCAGTGGATGTTTCGAATAGAGAGAGGAGCGAGGATCCAGTTATGGCAGCAATGATCCACGAATCAGGTCTGGATTGGATCCAACACAGGTCTTGGATACCTAATTTGGAGTTCGGATCGGTTTGAAGGAAAAGAGGAGCAGATGCTTTGACGCGTGGATCAAGGAGGCAAACACGGCCTTGACGGTCGCCGGCGGCGAGAAGAAGGTGGGAGTGCGAAGACGTAGGATCATGTGAGAGAAGATCGAGGCGAAGCGGAGTAGGGCACCAACGGACGGCGGTGACAAAGGGAGACAAATACGAAGACGTTGAGGAACTTGTGGTGGAATTCGCAGTGCTGGCGGACGGAGGAGGAATCGGGAGGACTGATACGAGTTGCATTGAGCGTGAGTCGACTATGGCAACACTGCTGCCGGCGGCGTAGGCTAGAAGTCCGGTCGAACGGAGGTCGGCAGATCCGCCGTTGTTGCGGGAAGGTGGACCTGGTAGCATGTAGTCCCAAGAGTCGTTTGGTGGCCGTTGAATCGACGACATTGTCGCCGGCCCGATTCTCCGCTGAGCTGATTTTGGCCGTAATCGGGATCGGACAGTCGTCAGTTACATCCCCGTTTCAACTGTTGTCAAATAAATGGCATGACTAATTTTGTCTGCGGGGGTGGTTGTATTTCACCCTTATTTTATTGCATTCAAGTACCTAAAGTTTTAGATATATGACAAAATGCCACTAATTATTCATTTTTATTGAAAAAGTTTATATTTTACATGTATCTAAATTTTTCAAATAAAATCATTATTACTTAAGGCGATATAGGCGATATAGGCGATATATACCAAAACGTTTACTCGTATAGCTTTCTACGAACAAATAAAATTATTCTGAAAAATCATAATTTGGGACATGCTTAGTTGATTATCAATAGTGATAGAAGTTTGTTAGAAAAATATAAATCAATGTTTAGATTTAATCTTTTCTTCGTCAAAAACTTAAATATGTCATTAAATATATCAATAATTGCATAAATTTCAAATATTATCAGATTTATCTTTTTACTTACCTTTGATTCGTGATTATATTTGTGTAAGATAATACAAATGTTTAATGTTTAGATCAAAACATGAATATTTAAAAACTAAAAGTCCAGTGAGTCAAATACATCAAGCAACCAATCACTCGTTTATATACAGTTGGGTCGACTATTTCTCCGTATTAATCATTCTTGTCCTTCAATTTTGGTTTCGTTGGTGAAGCTGTCGGGTTGCAAATTACTCTAAAATATTTGTTATGTAAGTTGTTTATTGCAAAATTTTCTCCACTCCATTTGAGAAACTTCAATTCCAAGATACTAAGAAAGTAGTCTTAAGTCATGCATTTCAAAATATTTCTTCATTTGTTCCTTGAATTCAACAATGTCTTTGGTGTTCGCCCCGATAATGATTAAGTCATTAACATAGACACCAACAATAAGAATTTTGACTCTCCATAACCTTCTGATCTTGTGAACTTTTTGTAAAACCAATCACTTTCAAGTTTATCTAAAATAATGTTCCAAACTAAAGAAACTTGTAGTAAACCATAAATAGTTTTGAAGAGTTGGAACACCTTATGAATATTTACTTTCTCAATATATCCTTCCGATTAGATAATATAGATTATATCCACTAAAAAAAAAAAAGTTGACGTGACATTAAGATGGTGGACAATCCACTGACGTTGAGAAATAAAATAAAAGCCAGAATAAACCTCTCATTCTCGTGCTACATGTTTTAATTTTTCTATCAAAGTTGATTCCTTGATTTTGTACAACCCCTCTTTTCAACAAGTTGAACTTTATGTTTCACCATGATGTGTTTATTTTACTAGTTTTGAATGAGAATTATCACAACCGATGACTTATACACAACTAGGCAAATATATCTAACCGATTAGAAGTATAGTTAAGGTAAGATCGGATTTATTCAAGGAACGAGTATGATTTGATTTGAAATTTTCACTATTAAATAAACTAATTTAAAAGTTATTAAAAAAGGGATATTTCTAATTTGTAAGTTCAAACAAAACTATAGCAAATAAAAAAGGCAAATAGAAAATAGATTATAGAAACTGAAGTAAATAACAATTATTGAATATAAGTAGGGGTGGAATTTGTATAAAATTTGTGTTACCACCAGCTTACCAAGTATATTTTGTATCAACTTGTTTGTCTACCAATAAATTTGGTTGGTACATGTTGATAATGTTATATACCAATATGCATGTGGCTTTGTGAATGACGATTTTTATGTTCTTGGGCATTGTGAAATAAGAATGGGATTTTATAAATGAGATTTTTGTTATGGTTGAGATTGAAAATTTGATAGTGGAGGAAAATTGGACACACCAACATTAGTTTAAAACTTTAAACTATACTCATACCATAAACAATAATATCATAACTCTTAAATCTTAAACATGTTACATGTTGGTTAGTATGGTACTACTTGGTATTGAAAACTCTATACCACTACCGTACCATAATTACTCAATTGGTATGGTACTACCAACCGAACATGTTGGCTACCAAACATATTGGTTATCGAAAATTTTGGTTCAGTTTGTAAAATGTCGGTTGGCTTTCCATGATACATATTTGTCAGCCATAAATATAAGAAAGTAATTATGCTTAGATTTGATTCTCCTATTGATTATAGTTGATTTCTCTAAAGGTGCAACGGATTAGATTTTGTTGTTTACCGATTCCTAGAGTTTGACTTTTTTACGTAATTAATCACTAAATTTGGTTTTTAATTCATGTTTCTATATAGTGATTTCAGTTTTGATTTAACCCCATATTTGATTTTGGTTTGATTCATGTTGATCACAGGATTCAATCAATCTAGTAAAGCATCTGTTAAAACTCATAATTGTTTAATAATGAGTAATAAGTAAAAAACATCATATTGGTTCTGTAAGAAGATTTAATGTTGATGTAAACTAAAAGTTACATACTTTTATGCTTTCTAGCTTATGAGAAGTACTGAATATCCTAGAAATTTTACATTGATCTTAATGCGATTTTCTTGAGCTTGTTTTGATTAGACAACTTGGTAAAAGAGGATAGATAGAGTTTGCTAGTAGTTTTTAGTGATAACCTAGATAGAACGCATACTAAATAACCACTTATGGATTAATTGCATATTTAAGAGAATTATAGCAGGATCATCTTATATTCTAAATTTTCTTGCACTTTACATTTTATGTAGTTTTTATTACTTTCAATTATTGTTTTTTGTAAGTAACCCCCCCCCCCCCCTTTTTTTTAAATTATGTCTTTAGTATTATGTGTCGTACACAAAAAGACATTGATTTTTAGGTTGTGTCCATATGGATTTGACACTGCTTACTAATGTGTAGTTAACTCTCTCTCTCTCTCTCTCTCTCTCTCTCTATATATATATATATATATATATATATATATATATATATATATATAGAGAGAGAGAGAGAGAGAGAGCGAGAGAGAAAAAGAAAGAGAGGGTTGTATATGAACCGAATGAACACGAATAATGGCTTGTTCATGTTCGTTCGTTTACGTTAGTCGAACAAATGAACGAACACGAACAAATAAATGAACGAGTTTTCTTGTTCATGGTCGTTTGTTTAAAAAATTACATTGTTTATGTTCGTGAACATTCTAAACGAACATAAACGAACGAACATAAATAAATGTAGATAAATAAATACAATTAAACATATATGAACATAAACGAACATATAAAATGGTAATGTAACTATGCATAATTGAACATATATAAACATAAAATGAACGAACATAAACGAACGTAAACGAACTACATAAACAAACGTTCACAAACATAATTGAATGAACGAGACCATTGTTCATGTTCATTCGTTTAGTTAAACGAACGAGAATGTGTGTTCATGTATGTTCATTTATTAAATAAACTAACTTCCCGCCAAACGATTCACGAATAGTTCGCCGAACGTTCAGTTCGTTTACAGCTATATATATATATATATATATATATATATATATATATATATATATATATATATATATATATATATATATATATATAGTCTTAGGTTATTCTATTCTAAATAATTATTGTGCGGACGTATGGACAATGCTATTATTTGAGAATGATAAAGAAGATATGTTGTTTGATAATATAAATACGTTCAATCTTATATAACTATTGTCAGTAACACATATTCCACTAATTAAATCGACTATAAGGTTATTATACACTTATTATTATTATTCTCATTTCTGTCAAAATATTGTCAGAATATTTATTGAGTCGTATTCTGTCAGAATGAAAATAAGTGAAAACGATGTATGAGAACAAAAATAAATAATAATTAGCGAGAATGCATGAAAATGATGATATTTTTGTAAGGTTGAAAGTATCCGCGTTGCTAAACAACTTATTCTCTTAGTAATTCTCATACAATAACATTGTCCACACATCCACACAATAATTAGTTAGAATACTTGAACCTAGCTCTCTCTCTCTCTCTCTCTCTCTATATATATATATATATATATATATATATATATATATATATATATATATATATATATATATATATATAACTAATTATTGTACTTCTACCACCACCATCACCCTGGTATCTGATCTGATTTGCTTTCAGTGCAATCAGAGAGACCACAAAAGGGCCTGATTATCCGAGTTTGGCTATAGCAGGACCGCTGTTAGTAGCTACCCCTGCAATTTTGAGGATTATTGACGGCCATCAGGGCCGAGCAGATGCGCCAGCGGTGAAGAGCAGGGTTTCAGCTGACAGCGGAGGAGGCGTATGCATCTCCCGATGTTGTGACGAGACCGTTCCTCGTGAACGGTATCTCTGCTTTGGTACTACTTAATTTAGGGGCTACCTGATCTTTTGTATCTCTTGCTCTTAGCAAGAGATTTGCTGGAGCTCCAGGGGATCTGGATCGTCCTCTTGATGTAGAGATTATTGATGATAGGACAGTCAGGGTTGCGAGAGTTCATCGGGACTGTACACTCCAGTTGTTTAGTAAGTGGTATCCGGTTGATCTGGTTTACATTCCTCTTCGTAGGAATATGGTCATCATGGGAATCTACTGGTTGATCCCTAATAGGGTAGTGATTGACTGTAAGAAGTAGTTAGTTTGGGTTCAAACCCCAAGTGGGGGAGAGATGGTGATTCAGGGAGAGAGACCGCAATGTGGGCCGATTATGTGTTTTGCAGTGAGGGCTAAACGTTATCTTCGTCACGGATGCTTGGGTTTCATCGCCTATATCATGGATACCCGGGATAAGGGTAAGGCTACCATGGATGATGTGCCGATTGTGCAGGATTACCCTGATATATTCCTAGAGGATTTGCCTGGGGTACCTTCAGAGAGACAAGTAGAGTTCAGGATTGATTTGATTCTGGTCAAGGCTCCGATTCGAGGTATATGCTTGAGGATGACAATGATTATTCCGTTCTTGGAACGGATTCGAGAGGCTCAGGTTGATGTTATGAAGGAAGAGCGCCGGAAGTGTGAGCGAATTGTGGGTCAGGTGGCTTCCTTCGATTATGATAGTCGCGGACTGTTGAATAAATGAAACTTCAAGTGGTCATTCCTTGAAAAACCAGAAGATTTTCAAGATAATGAATTGTGTTGCATGCT